CCTACAGAGCTCCCAGGGGGCTGGGGGTCCTCCCTCCATCCCAACCCTGGGCCCACTGACAGATGAAGACATCACGAAGCTGCGGCCGTGTGAGAAGAAGAAGGTGAGAGTCCCTTGTGTCCTGATCCCATGGTGGAGATTGTGCATGGAAAGATGGGAGAGAAACCCCTTGGAGAGCCTTTAGCTGGGGGAGGCAGGCAGAGCATTGCTTACATATGGAAGGAATTCCCCTCTGTGAGGGTGGAGAGGGGCTGGGATGGAATTCCCAGAAAAGCTGTGGCTGCCTCATCCCTGGAAGTGTCCCAAGGCCAGGCTGGAGCACCCTGGGATTGTGGAAGGTCTCGCTGCCCATGCAGGGCATGGAATTGGATCCTTAAGATCCTTTCCAAGCCAAACCATTCTGAGATTCCATAAAAACCACTGCAGCTCTTCTAACCTGAGCCTCCATCCCTGTTTTCCAGCTGGAAATCCAAGGCAAGCTCTACCTGGCTCCACTGACCACGGTAGGTTGATAACTCCAACCTTGTGCCAAAGTTCCCTGCGGTCACAGTTGGAACAGAGCAGATGTGACAATCCCTGTCCCTGCTGTGCCTGGCAGTGTGGAAACCTCCCTTTCCGACGGATCTGCAAACGTTTTGGAGCAGATGTGACCTGTGGGGAGATGGCTGTGTGCACCAACCTGCTCCAGGGCCAGTCCTCCGAGTGGGCTCTGCTCAAACGCCACCACACCGAGGACATCTTCGGGGTGCAGGTGAGTGTCACCACCCCATAACCCACCAAAAATTCACTTCCCAGGGGGAAAGCTGCCTCTGGAGCTCAGGGAAGCTGTTTCCCTTTGGCAGCTGGAGGGAGCCTTTCCAGACACCATGACCAAGTGTGCAGAGCTCCTGAACAGGACAATCAACGTGGATTTTGTTGACATCAACGTCGGGTGTCCCATTGACCTGGTCTACAAGAAGGTGAGAAGTTCTGTGATGTGTTTTCCTTCCATGAATCCTTGTCTTCTCCCTCATCTGCTGCCAGGGGGATCAGACTGGAAAGGGCTGAGCAGAGCTGAAAGGGATGGAGGATTTTGGAGTGATGTTTGGGTATTTGTGAACCAAAACAAGAAGTGGCTCTCCCCAGGGGATGCACCTTTTCCAGTCTGATCCAGTTCATTTATGGGCAGTGGATCTCAATGAGAAGGGGAATAAGCTGCTCAAGGAGCAGGGAATGGTTAGCAGGATTTGGGAGGGAAAAGCACTCTGGAGTTTGTTTTTTTTTTTTTTTTTGGTTGAAAGATCCACTTTGTCCAAACTTTGAGATGCTCCAGGCTTAACCTGAGCAGCTCCATGGGCTGTCCACTGTGAGGAAAGTCCTGAGTGTGCCCTGTTGTGTCCCTCAGGGAGGAGGCTGTGCTCTGATGACTCGCTCCAACAAGTTCGAGCAGATCGTCCGTGGGATGAACTCGGTGAGTTGGAGCACCTGGAGCTGAGCTGATGGAGCCCAGTCCTGCCTGGCCTCATCTTCCCACCTCTGCAGGTGCTGGATGTCCCACTGACAGTGAAGATCCGCACTGGGGTGCAGGAAAAGGTTAATGTGGCTCACAAAATCATCCCCAGGATCCGGGAGTGGGGAGCGTCCATGGTCACGGTAGGGGGACAGATGGGTGGGGTTGGTGGCTGGGGAATTCTGCCTGGGATATCACATGGGGGTGGCCTTCCCCTGCCTTTTAGTGTCCTCTGCTAAAATAAGAGGAAAATTCAGGTGCAGAGGGTGTTTTCCTACCTGCTCCTGAGCCTTGGGTCCAGGTTTCCCCCAGTCAGGAGTGAGGAATGTGGGATCAGCTCTTTGTGTGGGGATTAATTCTGGCCCACGCTGAATTTCCTGGGGAGAGCCACTTCTTGCTCTGGCTCACAAATACCCAAACATCACCCCAAAAACCTCCAGCCCTCTCAGCTCTGCTCAGCCTGCTGTCAGCACCCCTGGCTATAAATCCAGAGGTAGATCCCAAGGCATATCTCACCCTGTCAGCACCCATAGATCCCAAGATCGATGCCAGGGGTGATCCCAAGGCCCCCTCCCAAGGCTCCCTCCGCCGTTGCAGTGTCTCTGTGCCCTGTCCCCCACCCCTACCTGCCCAGCCAGGTGTCCCTGGGTGTGTCTCCACAGCTGCACGGCAGGTCCCGGGAGCAGAGGTACACGCGCAGCGCAGACTGGGGATACATCGCCGAGTGCGCCCGCATCGCCAGCCCCATGCCTCTCTTCGGTACGTGGGGCTCCCTCTGGCACTCGTTTCACCTCAAATTCCTTCAAAAATAGAGGGGGGAAAAAAATGTTCACAAGGGTGGTCAGCATGGGGAGGAGGTTGGAGCATCCCTGGTGGTGCTGGTGTGCCGGAGGGGAAGGATATGAATCACTTGGGTTTAAAGGTGTTTTCTTTTAAGAAATCTCTAAACCTTCAGGGAAACGAGCTGAGGGTGAAGGAGAAGAGAGGAGAAGGCTCCTTTTTTCCCTTGTAAGGGAACATCCATCAGAAACATCCCTGGGAATCCAAACCAGGAGCCTCTTTGGACCATCTGGCTCTTGGACATTGTGTCCATTTGGAATTTTATCCCATGCCTGGATTAGCTCACTTTGACTTGTCCTCACGGATCACTTTGACCTCTGGCTTCTCCCTCCTTTCTGGGCAGGAAATGGGGATATTTTGTCCTATGAAGATGCAAATCGAGCCATGCAGATGGGAGTTTCTGGAATCATGATTGCAAGGCAAGTGTCTGTGTTTCCCTTCACTCCTGAGCTCTGGTGGTTCAAGAGAAAAAAAAAAAAAAAAGAGATTAAAAAAATCCCTAAACAAACCCAAAGCGTGGAATTTCCTCTCAGTGAAACCACTCTGAAAAATTGGTAAAATCAATTTGCATCAGTTGGAACTTCTTGTTGGAATGGAAAAGGAGATTTAAAACAGAATTGGCTGGGAAATCAGTGCTGGGAAGTGTCTCAAATCTTCAGGAGCTCAGTGATGGCAACAAGAATCTCTTTTCTTTTGTTTGGCTGTAGAGGGGCACTCATCAAACCCTGGCTTTTCACGGAAATCAAGGAGCAGAGACACTGGGATATCTCCTCCAGCGAGAGATTTGACATCCTCAAGGACTTCACCAACTACGGCCTCGAGCACTGGGGCTCAGACACTCAGGGAGTGGAGAAAACCAGGAAATTCCTGCTGGAATGGCTCTCCTTCCTGTGCAGGTAATGCTGCCCAGCCAGGAGGGTCTTTAAACAATCATTAATGAATCCCTAACCCTCACTGCTTTTTATTTTATTCCAGGTACATTCCTGTTGGATTATTGGAACATCTACCTCAGAGAATCAATGAGAGGCCGCCCTATTACCTGGGCAGGGACTACCTGGAGACCCTCATGGCCAGCCAAAACGTGGATGATTGGATCAAAATAAGGTAATGAAGCATCAAATCTCATTTAAATTTAAAAAGGGACCTGGCAGAGCTCCTGTAGAGCCACGGGGTCGTGTGACAGCTGGGGACTGAACACTGACCCCTCCTTGGGTTTGGTTTTGTTGTTGTTTTTCTTCCCTGGCAGTGTCCAAGGCCAGGCTGGACAGGGCTTGGAGCAACCTGGGATAGTGGGAGGTGTCCCTGCCCATGGCTGGGGTGGCACTGGATGTGTTTTAAGGTCTCTGAGTTAATTCTAGAATTGATTCTTTCTCCCAGTGAGCTGCTCCTGGGCCCCGTGCCGCCCGGCTTCACCTTCCTGCCAAAACACAAGGCCAATTCCTACAGATAGGGCTGGCCAGGCCCTGTCCTGCAGCATCAGGAGGAGTTTGGATGGGCTGGGAGGAGGAGCAGGGCTCCTCGGCTGCACTGGCAGCTGGAATAAAGCTGATGTTTTTAGAAGCTGGTGAGGTTTTTTTGCCTTCCTGCCCCACATGAATCTTGGCAGACAAACACCTCTTAGTTGAGGGGATCTTTGGCTCCAGTTCACAGCCAGAGCTGTCCCAGCTCTGCCCCACATGGCTGAGAAAATTCCAAGGATGTCCTTGGGAGTGACAAACTCCCAGGACCAGGAGCAGCAATGTCTCCCACAACCAAGGTGACACGGAGCTGATGTTCAAGCTCCAAAGAGAAGCTTCTCAAAGAATTCTGAAAGCTCTGGGGACAACCTGGAGGGTGTCAGCAGCAGTGTCCCCACACCTGGGGGACCCCAGTGACACCAGCAGAGTGGGGAGAGCGGTGATCCCAGCACTGCTGCCGTCCATCATGGCCACCGCTACAGGGACATCCCCAGACAACAACAGCTCCCCAAAAACAAGGTGTCAGGGCCAGGGCAGGGCTTGGGCACCGCGGGGATCCCCTGGACCATCCCCGTCTCTCCTCACCACGAGTTCCTGGACGAGCTGCTGCCTCGCTAGGTGTCATGGCGGCCTCCTGTGCCTCGGTAGCTGTCATGGCGGCCCGCAATGCCTCGGTAGCTGTCATGGCGGCCTCCTGTGCCTCGGTAGCTGTCATGGCGGCCTCCTGTGCCTCGGTAGCTGTCATGGCGGCCCGCAATGCCTCGGTAGCTGTCATGGCGGAGCCAGGAAGCGGAAGTCGTTGGTGTCACGTGACACTCGCCCAGTGCCCCGTGCGGGTGGCGGTAACGCCCGGTAGTGGCGGGGGGGGCACGAGGGGAACTGGGGGGGACTGGGCGGAACTGGAGGCACCGGGAGCTGGGGTGGTGTCCAGGAAGGGGCGCTGGGGACCCAGCGGGGTAAGTGGAGGGGTACAGAGATAACGGGGGTGAGCGGGGGGCACCCATTGGGTGGGGATGGGAGGCACTGGGAGGCACTGGGGACACTGGAAGCAATGGGGCGGTGGCAGATGTGTCGAGGAGGGGCCGTGGGGAGAACAGCAGGAGCAATGGGAGGGACTGGCAAGGGGTAACTGTGACAGCTGGGACGCTCAGAGGGGATAACTGGGGGAACTGGGAGAGTACCCAGGCGCTAACTGGGAGAACTGGGGGGCGCAGGGTGCCGGGGGCTGTGCCCGCAGGATGCTCCTGCGCTCCTGGAAGTCTCTGTTCACGGGGCGGCTGCTGCTCCTGACCAACACCCTGAGCTGCGGGGGGCTCCTGGCGGGCGGGGACCTCCTGCAGCAGCAATGGCACCGCCGCAAGCACCCCGAGAGCCAGCACCAACTGGGACGCACTGGTGAGCACTGGGATGGGCTCTTCAAATCCCATTGCCGCGGGGCAGGGGTAGCTGGAGACCTTCGCACTGTCCCGGGCTGCTCCAAGCTCCAATGTCCAACCTGGCCTTACACACTGCCCGGGATCATGGGGCAGCCCTGGAATTCCATCCCAGCCAGGAATTCCTTCCCAATATCCCACCCAAATTCCCCTTTTTCCGGTTTGAAGCCATTCCCTGTGTCCTGGAATTCCCATTCCAAATCCATCCCCTGTGTCCTGTCCCTCCATCCCTTCTCCCAAATCCCTCTCCAGCTCTCCTGGAGCCCTTTTAGGCTCTGGAAACAGCTCCAAGGTTTCTCTGGAGCTTCCCTTCTCCAACCTTGGACACTCCCAGGGAGGGAATTCCTTCCCAAAAATGCTCTCTCCACGCAAACGCTCCCGTGCTGAGGCGAGGTGTGTTTTCCAGGCCGGATGTTTGCGGTGGGCTGCAGCCTGGGGCCGCTGATGCATTACTGGTACCTGTGGCTGGACTCAGCCTTCCCAGCCCGGGGCGTGCGGAGCCTCAGGACGGTGCTGAAGAAAGTCCTGATCGATCAGGCGGTGGCATCGCCCAGCATGGGAGCCTGGTTCTTCCTGGGTACGTGGGAATCGCTGATCCAACCCCTGCTCCTGCACACGCAGCCCCAAATCCCACCCCGGGAAGCGCTGGGAGCTCCTGGAGCTCTGGGGCTGTGCTCGTTCCCTGGGGGAGTTCAGTGCCCAGCACCCTCTAGGGGGAGAA